GAGAATTATCCATTATTCTGATCTAACTGATTAAACTGTTTACAGTAATTCGAAAAAGAAATCTGACCATTTACGCTTGCTAATCAGTTTTTATTGAAAATGAATAGAAGCGCAAGACCACGTTCGTACTCCGTGTTTTTCTTACATTGTATTACTTAAGTTTTAATTAAGTATAATATTCATTCGGTATAATACACGTTTTTATCTCAGTTTCATATTTTGTTCAGCATACTTCTTATGTAATATGATATTCATTTTAATTCAATGTGATAACTATTTAGTATAACAGCCGTTCGTATTAATTTAGTGTGAATTTTATTCAGTAAACATCTAGCATGCATATGTAAAATCAATTCTTATATTTCACATATTTCGGTTATATATGATATCCACTAAATAATCATCGAATTTCAGTAAATTCGATGTATGAAGTAATGTATATCTTATTTTGGAGCGTGGATGAAATCGTCATCTACACTCAGTTTTTAACCTCTGCTTTGAGTCTCGAAAATCTTACTGTTTTCCTGTTTCGAGAGAACCTTTTCTAACAGATACAACAGATTTGACAATTCCATTTCTACTACTTATAATATTTATAGTAGTATAATGTGGAAGTCGTTTTGCCCGTTTAAATAATTTAACTGTTCAGTCAATGAACTGACATTCTTCTAGTACTCAACATATAACCTGCTCCACCAAGTAGTCACACAGTATTTAGCGTAGAGAAAAAGATGTATGTATTGCAAATAACCGGTAAAATGGACATACTACTTGAAACCCTAAACTGATATTTCCGAAAAATTTATTTTAATATCGAGAACGACTATAAAAAATACTTTATTTAAACAATATCTGATAAGCATTTGGGTAGTTACTTCATAAATTAAAATTGAAATCTTTTCTCGATACGTTTTGAAAATCATGTCCAGTATTTAAACCATACCGAAAATATGTCTTATTCAATAATCCTATCCTTAAATGGACTACGACGAAAATCTTGTCTTATCAACGTACTTAAAACCTTTGTCTATAGAAGCATTTATTATCGCTTTTCTTTCAAAGAAAACATTTTGACCATTAACAATATACTGAAAACGGTGAAGCAAATTATCTCAACAGATAATTCATACCAGTACCAACATATTTTCGAAGCGGAATACAGGCAATTTGACATGCAACCTAAATTAAATGGGTATATCAAGGCGTATGAGTGAATCGAGATTGACAAATACACTTGAAGTTTTGATTCATTTTAAGACTATTTCTAGTAACTGAACATTCTTGAAGCTTTTTAAATAAAATTATTTATTGTTATTAACAGTGGTTCTTAGTATTGTTCGGCTGAAAAGTGTTTATTATACCTAATGTGAAGTTTCGTTACTTAATGCTGACTTTTGTATCTTTATACCAAGAATTCGTAAACTTCTCAATCAAACGTTTTTATTAAAAGTTTTCTTTAAATACTGTCGATTAAGGAATGGTTATTTAAAATCAATCATCTGAACGTTGTAGGGATTATACATTACGGTATAGTTGTAGGTAGGAAAAATGTTTTTTTTCGAAAAAAAGTCATTATTCAGATGAAAATGTATTATTTTTTATTTAGAAACTAAACAAAACAATTCACAAAGATTATCTATAATTATTTCATAAGCCACCGTAAATGTTTAAATTGAAAACATTTTACTAACTAGATTATACTAACAACTTTTAAACATTAGATGATTAACGGTTGGTTCGTCTCCAACCGGGAAAAAAAGAGATTTCCTTCTTTAGATATTTTCTAGATTTTACGTTAGAGATCTCGAATTTCTGTTAACAAACAAGCTATGATACTTTAGGGACCATACAAAGTTAATGGGACATTTAAAAAATTAAAGCGTTTATTCTTCATGAGATAATCGTCCATCATTCGATATGCCTGTATAATTAAGATAAATAAGAGCAAATTTGTTTTTTTTTTAGCTGAAATAGATTTCTAATCTGTATCAATTGAATTTCATCGAATCAAAAACAGCTGTAAAAACATGAGATTCATAAGATAATGAGCGATTCGTTCTTTTTTTTATTATTCTACCATGGGATTAAAAGACTAGAAATAGATTTATGATGTCAACTATGTACATATTAAGAAATATTTCGAAACGATAACAATTATTAACTAAAAACTAAAAGTTTGAGACATCAAGGAAAAGCTTGGACCAGATTGCCAGGCGAAACGTTGGATTTACTTCCAATTCTTTCGCTGAGATTTTACAAATACATTCTTCCTCTTTAATGACTCACATTAACTGGGCGCCCAAATATTGTGAAACTATTCGTTCAAATGTAGACTAAAGTTCTTATTTATTAAAAGGTTTGAGTATTCTAAAAAACATTTTTCAATGAAATCTATTAAAATTAAATTGTTTTGTTGGCTCTACCATTTTGTTTAGTGATGAAATGTATATTCTTTTTTTAAAAAGAAAGAATTTATTGTAGTTTAATTGGTGGATCTCGAAGCTGCAAGAAATTGGTCGTTTGAAGTTTTATTTATTATGAAATTGTTTGTAGTGAAAAATATCATCCTAGTAATTAAATGAGTATTGATAAATGATTTGAATGTTAGATAACGATTACATTTTGTTGCATATAGATTTCACTTAAAATTATTTTGTAAGTTTAATTTAACCAAAGAAACAACCGTAGTCTTCTCCTCTGTAGACAAATATGAAAACTATATTTTTTCATTCCTCATGAAAAATGAGATATATATATCCAAGATATTAATAATTTAATCTATAATGAAGTCTTCAATTTAAGAGCTAAAATTATTCTTAAAAATCAACTATCTACTTATAAGTAACAGCCGTTATTATGATGATTATGCTAAGGATATTTAACTGAACTCATTGTCGTGACAATACTTGTTATGAGCATAATGTCTATGTCTGAAAATCAATAAACCTCAAAACAAGTGATTGGTAGCACACTTCGATCAGATGAACTAATAATTGTTTACCTGATATATGATAATCATTATATTACCCTATTTTCAATCATTCTTAATTGTAGGTAAAATATGCCTGTAAACATGTTTCATAATGTTTACAGTTTATAACATAATTAACTGTTTCCGAGCTCAATGTTCATTTATGTATATCAAATAATCTAGATTAAAAAGTTATCAGATCTATGGTTACTCCGATTGATAAACACTTTCGTGAGAAACAACATGATACTATTCATGTTTAACTCCCTACTTGGTCTGAACAATCATTTTACTACAGTATAACTTAATAATACAAAGAATAAATTATCCACCAAAAAGAAAGCCCTTTATAATATTTGTGGTATTACCTAACATATTATCAAGTAATGTCTCCTGAATGACATATATACAGTGGTTTTTTTCAACAACAAAAAAATCAACTCCATCACTTGTTATATTTATGGAATGAATAGAATCAATAACAAGCAATAACAAAAAGAAAAACTGAAATTCTACTAACTCCTGGACACATTTCACTAGATTTTAATGAAAACAAAAGTTGAAAATAACAACAATCAAAAAACACATATCATAAATTGATGAAAAGAATACATGAAAATAAACAATTAATCTATATGACTTAAAGAGCAAAAAATAAAAAATAAAAATAAAATTTCAATCAAATAATCATATGATTACACGAATAATTGTAAGAAACAATAAGAAACTACTGATATAACTATCAATAATTTATACAACTGTCATTGAAAATGAAAACGAAAGAGAAAAACATTTCAAATTATCTTTAACATAAATATTACTGAAATCACTATGACAACTAAATCATGAATAATAATAATATTAATAATAATAATAACATATAATATATTACTGAAGATTAATTTTCCTTTTAGACAAAATGATTGATTTTAATTTTTTTTTTTTTAAAAGAACGTTTTATTCATTCAAAAGTGAAAATATTCATCTTTTCATTATTGATCCGGAAAAAATAATAATTTTATGGAAGAATTAAAAAAAAAAACTTAATTACGGAAACAAAAATACATTTACAATGGAATAAATGAATTACTAACATACGTATGAATTGTTGATATTCGTTGATACTTGAAGTTATTATGTAATAGAATTTTGACAAATTCGGCTATGAATACACAATAGATCACGTAAATACTAAATGAAATTATTTTAAAGACAAAAACAAACAAACACGAAAATTTTGTTAATCATTGATCTAATGTTGAGTAAAAAAATGTTAAAAAGTGAGTTGAATAACGTAATTGTTTACATGCAATGTATAAACAAATGCAAATCTAATAAGTCATAAATCTCCAAGAGTTATTTCCTGGAGTTCTAGTAAGAAGACGTTACCAGCGCGTTCAACCAGGTCTGTTGTGAGATAGTAACTCACTTAAGAAAATGATGGACGTTGGTGCGATTTCGTGGATTGGTTGAAGTTAGACATTAATACCGTTGGATGCTGGTTTAGTGGTCTAAATGCTAAGCGTATGCGCGTGCAAGACTGATAGGTCCTGGGTTTGGATTTTGCAGGGCGGGATCGTGGATCCGCACTGCTGAGGAGCACCATACTAGGATGAAACGGCCGTTCAGTGCTTCCAGGTTTTCCATGGTGGTCTAGCTTCAGTTGACCCATGAATTCAATTAATAAATCATAGATACTTTACATTGAGAAATAATTTTGAAATTATTTAATAACTAACTTTATACATTGTAAGTACGATGTATATCCGATCAACTATAAATAAGCTAGTTTTAAAGAGTAAGAGTTATTGTACAAAACCAAATGATAAACTATGAACTACTGTGACAGGTTACCATAAAATAAATATGAATATAGCAGAATTGTGGAAAAAAATACAAGCACAGGAACAATACACTACGACATTATTTATCGTGGAGATTTTTACGTGACCGTTTGAATCAGTTATGGTTGGACGATAATGATATATATATATATATATATATATATATATATATATATATATATATATATATATATATATATATATATATGATGATTGCTATCCAAATATACATCCCGACTACCCTAGTACATAGTTATCGACTTAAATCGCTTTAAGGAATAACGGAATTAAATAAGCCAAATATAAGAATATGTATATTTCAAACAAATGTTGATCCGGACAAACAAATAGAGAAACGAAGTGATGCGCATCAGAAAGGCGAGTGAGCCAACTCAATTTGATCAAGTGTGACTCAACATTTATATTCAGACAAAAATAAGTTACAGACACGTAACGAATAGACCTAGCAATTAACACATACAATTATATAAAAGCAGTTCGAGTTAACAACCGAATAAGTGATAAGGTCTAAATGTGACTTGAGAAGAATGAATAGATTGATCTGTCCAAAGGCTAGAATAGCCTATGTGGACTTGACATAGTACCAACCACCACAGACTTTAAACGTTTGGATCAAAGGTATATTAAAGACCAAAACGAGTGTTTCGGATATGTACGTTTCATCACGCAATCGATATTTCATGCAGACAGCAAGAGATGCAGTGCAGAGAAAGGTTCTTTATCCCATTCAATCGTAATAAATATGAATCAGATTTAATTGCTAAACAGTTAAAAGGATACTAAAGTCAGATAACGAATGAATTACATGATCAGTTGACATAGCCACATATAAAGATCATCAAAATTACAAGTGAATAGTCGACAAAAATATATGTGTAAATGACAACCCAAAATGATCATAATTTGTCTGTCCAATAGTTAAAAAAACTCACGTGAATCACTACAGTTCCAGATCAATGATTGATATTTGTTGATAAAATAATTATTTTAGAAAGTTAATATATTTATTTATCACATTAATAGAACAAATATCAACCAGTTCATTTAAGAGAAATTGGTATGAAGATCAGTTATTTACAAGTTTATTAATGGAAAACAAAAAATAAACAGTTCAACAACCGAATATTTCTCCAAGTAAAATATATAAATAGTTTTTAAATTTCTGAATGAAGAAAGCGGGATTTATGTGATGTTTGTTACTACATCTGTTGTTAAGAGTGAAACACAAAAATATACAGACACTCGATACTTAAAAATCTACAAAGAATACTGGTTCACTTTTATTATTAATAGTCTATTATCAAAACCATACATACAACATGTTAGCTTAAATGGGTCAATCAGTAATTATCAACGTAGAGACTGGGACGGATCTGTATTGTCCCAAGTTACCACATCACATTAGCACAGTAAGATGAAATTAATAAGAAGTATGAAAAAAAAGACCGAAAAAATACAGTAGAAATAACAATGCGAAAGGGTGAATATTAAGAAATCTGGTTCGAAAAGACATAATGGAAAGGTTTGCATTACTAAATACTGGAATTCAGGATTGAGAGGAAAATAAGAAGAAGGAATACATCTCCGCCGTTTTGAACGATCATGAGCAATGTCACTTAAAGTCTTCAGATATTTATAGTCATTATCGCATGGATCCCAATCAGATACTCTTCATCTACCAACATGTCTCAGATCGACAGTCAATGACTTCATGGACTAATGCCTTATCCTGTACTGACTGGTCCTAGCTTTTTTCTGACTTACTCCTAAACCAGAAAACAGTAACTGTCGGGCTAGATGGTGGTGACCTATGTCGTACCAACCTCAACAGATAAGGAGTCATAACTTAATGTTTATTGTCTGAATTCATAGAATCATTAATGATGTAGACGAAATATGTATCTAACTTTCACTATACATATTCCGACGAAAAATCCCGTTAATATCAAAAGTGGATATAAAACATCAAACACGAGCGCTTCAGATATTTATATTTTATACGTTTATTTTGTCAAGCACATGTGCCTACTCAAAATATAAAAAACGTTAATGCAACTCAAAAAAAACGAATAACGCAACAAAGAGACTGGTACTGGATAACGTAATAGGTGTACAGATATACACACAAATCCGTCTTTATAGGCGTACAATTACAAGGACATGAATAAAAAAGGTATGTGTGCTGACGGCCACAACGTTTAGGAAACAAAAGGGTTATAAGAATGGTTGAAATGACCCAATAGTTACATGCTGTCTGAGTTAAGTCTGTCTGAAGGTTTGGATAAATAATGTAAGTGTACAACAACATATAAGTTGCTACAATAACTTTATCAGTCGACGAATCATCTAAGTCAAGTTCCTGATGTATAACTTCAACACTACTAACTCGATCGTTAGACGAAAAGCAAATGATGCCTCAAATACATCTATGATCAAAACCTACAGTGTAAGCATCTCTTCTACTTTCAAGGACTGTGTTTCACAGACACAAAGTAATATAGTGGAAATTATTGACCAATATACGCTGTCTTTGGTTAGTAAACAGGCATCTTGCCTGTACCGCGAGTAAAGAAGCTTACGAAAGACTGACTGATCTTCTTGAATCTCTACCGAGACATTATTAGATACAAATCCGTTATGGCTGATGAAACTTCCATGTCAAGCAAAGTGCTTAACGTATTTAACTAATTCACTCCATGTTATTAGTTCTGATTGATTTGTAAATTGTCCATAAAAGTAAATGAAAGAGGCACAAAAACCATGTTTTGTATAAACTATGATTCGAAGCATCAGAACAAGTGTATCTTACGTGTACAAATCAGCTTTTGATATTAGTGAGAGATTTCACAGTGAATTTACAAAACTTCCATAAAAGTCACTTCTAAAGGCTATGAGACGTACAAAAACTCAAAAATTGGTCAAAAAGTAGGAAATTTCTAATCGACATTATCAGTTCATTATGAGAACTTGAAGTAATTAGTAGATTCTGCAACTTCCTCATGTTGAGAAAAAACACATTCTAGACCAATGATTCTGAAAAATTATAAACAAATTCTGACTTTTCTTTCAGTGTTTATTCACGCTCGAGGTATTTTATTGTAAGTTATTATACCGGAAATACTTAACACAAAAACAAATCGAGCAATATTTTATACAAAAACTAAGCAACAAAAGATTCATCTCAAGTAAAACTTTGTGTCATCTGACAACGAGTAACGATGAATATAACAATTGCTTACCAGGTTTAGATTCACCATAAACAATTCTTTCAAACATAAAATATCTAATCTGTAGCAAAAAAAGTGATTATCAATGTGAAAAAAAGTGAAAAACAACCACTGGAGTTAATAAATTCAATGGATAATTACCCACCTTAATGACGGAGGCTGATCCATTTTTTGTTATATCAACAGGCATCTGTTTGAGACTACAACCATCAATACCCAGAAATCGCAGAGAAGGCAGCATTCCTAATTCAATAGGAAGCAAATCCAATGGCTTATTATTTGATAGATACAAATGTGTTAAATTCTGCAGTTTGCCTGAAAAAGTGATCAGAACAAAACATGTGGAAAATAAATAAGTGGTATCGAATCTGAAATAACACTACACAACATACAGATTCTCATGCGCTTCCAATCTTCATGTTATACTTTAACTACTTAATAGTTCATAAGTAGTGTAGATATTTCTGCATCATTTGTAAGTCTTCGGTTCGGCGAAATCTATTAAAAAAAATATGGCTGAAGAATTTATAGAGATAAATACCATTCAAATGATATTTTCAGCTTCAATATCCAGGAGGCGTTAGCCCTCAAAAAGCACTCTTATTTTTACCATTATTACTTACATAACTTTTAGTTTACGTTAATAACATTTTTCAGTTGACATAAGTTTAGTACTTACCGATTTCAGGTGGTAAACGTTGAAGAAGATTGTCTTTCACTCTCAGTTTCCTTAAATTGTTCAGATTTCTTTAAAAATCGAAAAACATGCATAAAATAAACTATGAAAGTGAAAAAAAAGAAATGCTGAGACTATTAAAATGATTAAAAGTGCTTAATTAAATGGTACATACGATATTTTAGAACTTACTACGCTATGTATGTAATTAATCGGTATATATTAGAAAGGATGGTATGCAAATACAATCCATTCTTAATTTGAAGTGAGTAAAACTACCGGACAACAGACTAACCTTGAGTCTCTAACATAAGCAAATTAACCGAATTATTGCTTATATTGTGTGCTTTCCAAAATGAACGTTGACATAAAAGGATACGAATTCCAGTCCGTTGTCTGAGAGATTGGAATCATACTTCGCTATGCCATTCATTTGCAGACAATACGCCTCATTTCCTACATTAAGTAAATACCGGTTTTCAACGGAAGAGTCGTACGTGACATAGTACAACGTGGTATTAATTCGACTTTTGCAGAGTACTTATGTTCTTCTTGGATTGCTTATCACAAATAACTCTGCTTATAAAATTGATGACTATTGTAACGTATGCTTTCATACCAATGTTGCACTCGAAAATTTCATTGCCCCGGATAATACATTTTGTCCAAATCAAATGCTGTACACTATTGACATCTTCGTCACTAATGTCCAGTCAAAGTAATTTATGGAATATTTCAATTCAAATAATGCACTTTTACGTTCTAAATATTATGTACCCATAATATTCACATAATATTTTTGCGTTGTTCCTTTGTACTATTTAAACCTGGATTAATCTCGATTTGGTTATTATTCTGTGAAGAAGTGGCTTACACCGAGTCATAAAACGTCAGAAAATTTAATTTCTCTACTCATTGGGATATTACAAATACATCAATTTATTTTTCTATGCTTGTAATTGTTATATATATATATATATATATATATATATATATATATATATATATATATATATATATATATATATATAAACGTAGTAAAATTGGAATATCTTGTAAAAAATAGGTGTATCATCTTGTAAAATCCAATATATTGTTTTGTTAAACCAAATAAATAGGCCATTGAGATCACGAACTGATCTAAATTAGACAACTATTGTGAACCTGAAGACCCTGAAAAGCTATTTCATCCTAGTGTAAAACTATTCAAGAGTACACATCACCGACTTCACAAACGAGAGCCAAACCCAAGATATTCGACACATTGATTTAAATATTGGGCGTTTTCGTAAGGAACCATAGGTTCCAGGTCCTATTCCATGTTGTGGAGTATTGGATGTGAACTGATGAGAAAATCCATACTAAGAAGTAACGGTCATTCGGCGCTTCCCAAGTTCCAATGGTTGTCTAACTTATTTGGGTTTATGATCCTAACCAACCTCAACAATCTCCAACACTCTATACTGACAAATGGACTATATTCTGAGTTTTCTGAAATTTTAAAAACCTTTAACGGAATACCTAAAAAAATTATCTCAATGTTGATCGGTTTTTCCTACTGGGGTGTATAACGACCCGTTTCATTACTGAAGGCGATTCACAGCAAAAACTGACACCAGCCAAATAACCGATAAGAACGATAAAAGCTAAAGAGCTATTTTTCTCTTGTTTGAATTATCTCAGTTCTAACTAGGTTGGACACGAAACTATTATGGCATTTGGTGTCCAGAGTAACTGTAAGTTATAAATTAGATATCCATAGATCAATATCACTGGCGTTAGTTAACTTTAAATGTAGCACTATCCTTTATCATCTCACTCCTCACATTTGTAACTCTAAAAAATCATATCTTTTCAACATAATACTTCCAAAAACCTGATGTATAATGAGCCCATAACAGATTTGCTTATTATCTCAAAATTTTGTGTAACATAAAAGTGCACTCATTAAATCCTACAAACTTCATAGTGTAAAGCAGAATTTCTGTAGAAATTTTATGGAATTCAATTATTATAAAGGTAACTAAACACTTCATAATCATCTCATTACAAAACTCATTGCATATATCACTATTATTATTTTACTTAAAGTTAAAAAAACAACATGCATTAACGAATAAGAAAAAAGTTTAATTTTCAGTTTAACGTGTAATAACAGATGGTTAGTAGTGTGATGGAAAATAAAAGAAAACAACTTTATTAAAGTATTAAAATAGCTTAAATACATTTGCATACTACGATAAAATCAATCCCATTATTTGTTCGCTGCATCGATGCACTACAAAGGTTCAATACAGCCTTCCTTCGAGATACTGACAAACTCAATGAATTCAAGATAGCTCTCAACAACAGGTTCCAAGCCTTACAAGATCTACTGAATGAAGAAGAAACTACTATGGAGGACAACTGGAAAGGCATCAAGGAAGCATTAACTTCAACGTGTCAAGAGGTTCTGGGCCTAAAGAAACACCATCATAAGGAATGGATCTCTATAGAAACACTGGACAAGATCAAAGAAAGGAAGAACAAGAAGGCAGCAATTAACAACAGCCGAACACGAGCAGAGAAAGTCCAAGCACAAGCTGAATACATAGAAGCAAACAAACAAGTGAAGAGGAGCATTAGAGCCGACAAGAAGAAATACGTGGAAGAACTAGCAACGACGGCAGAAAAAGCTGCTAGAGAAGGAAATATGAAACAGCTTCACGATACAACGAAGAAACTAGCAGGGAAATACAGTAAACCAGAGAGGCCGGTCAAAGACAAAGAAGGCAAGCCAATCACCGAAATTCAACAACAGCGTAACAGATGGGTAGAATACTTCGAGGAACTCCTGAATAGGCCGGCTCCAATGAATCCACCGGACATCGAAGCAGCACACATAGATCTTCCTATAGATGTCAACCCACCAACGACGGAAGAAATTAGAATGGCCGTCAGACAAATCAAGAACGGGAAAGCAGCAGGACCCGACAACATACCAGCTGAAGCACTGAAATCAGACATCGAAGCAACCACAAGCATGCTGTACCTTCTATTCAAAAAGATTTGGGAGGAGGAACAAGTGCCGATGGACTGGAAAGAAGGACACCTCGTCAAGATTCCAAAGAAAGGAGATCTGAGCAAATGTGAAAACTACAGAGGCATTACACTACTGTCAATACCAGGGAAAGTCTTCAACAGAGTGTTGCTGAACCGGATGAAGGATGCAGTAGACGCCCAACTTCGAGATCAACAAGCTGGATTCCGTAAGGATCGGTCGTGCACAGACCAAATTGCAACACTACGGATCATCGTCGAACAATCAGTTGAGTGGAACTCATCACTATACATCAACTTCATTGATTATGAAAAGGCATTCGACAGTGTAGATAGGAGGACATTATGGAAACTTCTTCGACACTACGGAGTTCCTGAGAAGATTGTCAACATTATCCGGAACTCATACGACGGACTACAGTGCAAAGTAGTGCATGGAGGACAGCTGACAGATGCATTCCAAGTAAGGACTGGAGTCAGACAAGGCTGTTTACTCTCTCCCTTCCTCTTTCTTCTGGTGGTCGACTGGATTATGAAGACCTCGACATCTGAAGGAAAACACGGAATACAATGGACAACTCAGAATCAATTAGACGATTTGGACTTCGCAGACGACCTAGCCCTCCTATCACGTACACACGAACAGATGCAGATGAAGACAGCCAGTGTAGCAGCAGTCTCTGCATCAGTAGGCCTCAGCATACACAAAGGGAAAACCAAGGTCCTCAAATTCAAAGCGGAGAACAGCAATCCAATCACTCTTGATGGCGAAACTCTGGAAGATGTAGAGTCCTTCACATACCTAGGAAGCATCATCGATGAACAAGGAGGTTCAGATGCAGACGTAAAGGCGAGGATCGGCAAAGCAAGGGTCGCATTCCTACAATTGAAGAACATATGGAACTCAAAACAACTTTCAACCAATATCAAAGTGAGAATCTTCAATACGAACGTCAAGGCAGTTCTACTGTATGGAGCTGAAACTTGGAGAACTACAACAACCACAATCAAGAAAGTACAAGTATTTATAAATAGCTGTCTACGCAAGATACTCAACATCCATTGGCCGGATACCATCAGCAATAGCCTTCTGTGGGAGAGAACAAACCAACTTCCAGCTGAAGAAGAAATTAGGAAAAGACGATGGAAATGGATAGGACATACATTACGCAAATCGTCAAACTGCATCACGAGGCAAGCCCTAACTTGGAATCCTGAAGGGAAGCGAAAAAGAGGAAGGCCAAAGAACACATTGCGTCGGATAATAGAAGCAGATATGAAAAGGATGAATTACAACTGGACGGAGCTAGAAAGGATTGCCCAGGACAGGGTTGGATGGAGAATGCTGGTGAGTGGCCTATGCTCCTTCACGAGGAGTAACAGGCGTAAGTAAGTAAGTAAGTAAGCATTGATGCACACTGCTCCTCTGAAAATGCATTGAATGTTCTAGCACCTGTAAGTGTATCTCATTCCACAATTGATATTATAGGAACTTTAAATGTTTAGCCATTTTTATTGGTGCATTCCCTAATTAAGACCACCTACTTGCTGTCGCTTTATGTTAACACAGTTCCAAGCAAGTTTAACTAGTTTGAATAACATCAACAGTATATCACTGTGTCACATGACACGCAATTAGGTAGACCTGATTGATGTATTTTCGTAATTAATGCTTTGTTGTTCCGTGCTCTTTGTTTCGTTTTGATTTCTCTAGTTGTAGATAATTATTAATTAGATCTGGCACACGAAATGACCTTAATTACTCCGTTCATAAATCAACAGGCTGTCCATTTAAGAAATATTAAAAATTCCCGGCTGATGCATTGGACTGCTGTAATACATGTCATAAATGTACTACCTAAACAATTACTGAACTAGTATACTTAGAACTATCTTATATCACATGTTTGTTCTGTACATCTAATGTTAATATTTTTAGCAAATTGATCATGCCTGTAAACTGGTGTGAATTCTGTAATTATTATTTTCAGAATATAAATTATTATTATTTTTATAAGTAAATGAGTGTTTATTAAAACAAATAATATAAAATTCTGTAAATAAAATACATAACTTTTGAAATTTTAATACAACCAAATGCATTTCCTTTTAGTTCACTGATTGTTAACAATAAACCAATACAATCTGAGTAAACTAACTCAATAATGACAACTAAATAGTTAAAAAGAAAATAATGTAAACTTTAGTTTACAAAAGAAAAATCCATCCATTTGAGATCAAATGGGAGAAAGTTAATGACTGATTGATTAACTTAAGAAAAAGTTAAGATAATAGATAGTTTAGGAATGATACACGAAATAATATGACATTGATAGGAGGGAATTTACATTATAGTAGAATGTTAATTGAAACTACCGGTATGGGGTTGTGGAGATTAGTAAGGTTTTGGTTGAGATCATGAACCGATTTATGTTAGACCTTCATTGAAAACTTGGAAGAACTGGACGGCCGCTTCGTCCTGTTGTGGACGCGCACTGCTGAGGAGTCCCACGGTAGGACTAAACAGCCATCCAGTGCTCCCAGGTTTTCAATGATGGTCTAACATAAATCGGTTCATGATCTCATTTAAAAACCTAATTCGAATTGTCAATTTTCAAGATTTTAAAATATTATTCATCAAAACTGTAGATCAATTACACTAATAATGAGAATCGACGAATGTCAGACAATATTTTTAAAAAGTAATAAAAAAGTCTTGTTTGATCTACTTCAGCTTTAGCAAATCAATTATGTCATGGTTCCTCGTTATATTCAAAACACATTTTAAAACTAAGTATATGGGAAAAACAAACAGAATTAATGAACTATAAAACTTAGAACATGACCTAATAGATAAGAGGCCAAATTTATCCAACTGTAAATATTCTACGGCGCATCCATTTTTGGATATCTGATTGAGTATAAATTTACTAAGATTATTAATAATCTCAAATAAAATTTAATTCATTATATAGTTGGTAGTAAATTTCTCCTCTGGTTATTTATAGAAAACTTAATGAGTTATTTACCTGCTTACTTACGTCTATTACCCCTCGTGGAAAGGTATAGGCTGCTCATCAGCATTCTTCAAACAGCTCTATCCTCAACAATCCTCTCCACTTGCTGTTCATTCTTTTGATATATACTTCAATTCTAGACACAGTATGTCCTTTGGTCTTCTTCTTTCCCCCTTGACTTCAACGACCCATGTTACGGCTTAATTCGTGATGCAGTTTGATGATCTCTGCAATGTATATCCTACCCACCTCCAATGTCTTTTACTATTTTCTTCTTCAACTGGAAACTGGTTTGTTTTCTCCGACACTATGCTGTTGTCAATAGTATCCGGTCAACGGACATTCAGTATCTTACGTAGACAATTGTTTATAAATACCTGTACGGTTTTGATGATAGTTGCGGTAGTTCTCCACGTTCCAGCTACGTACAGTGGATCTCTCTTGGCGGTTGTATTGAAGACTGTAACTTTGATGTTGGCTTACAAATAACTGAGTGCGATATGTTCTTCAACTGTAGGAATGCTGTTCTTGCTTTGCCAATCCTTGCCTTTACTTCTGCATCCGACCTTTTTCCTTCGTCCATGATGCTGTCCAGGTACGTAAAATTCGAGAACTATTTCAATAAATTTTAGGAGTTACGCACCGATCTAGGATGAATCAATCTAACTTAAATCAGTTTGTGATTTCAATGAAATTCAACAATCCTCATCATCCCATACAGAAAATTTCGGATTTTCATCAAAGCCATAAATCAGCAAGTGACTATAAGAATCATTAATTTACGGTAAACTTGCCTTCATTTTAACAATCAAGAATAACTTCGGATATGAAACAAGTTACTGAAACTGTAGATCAAATTAGTCTTTCATTTATATCTTTAATCTTTAGAATTAGTGAATGTGTTGAAGTCACTTATTAAGTTCCTTTATACATGTTCGTATTTGAAAGGTGAACAAAATGAAGTTATGAAAACAAGGCAAATCCATTAAAAGTTTATAATAATAACTCACCCTATGGTTGATGGCAGTCTAGATAACTTGTTTACATCTAAATTAAGTGTTTGCAATTGACATAATTGTCCAATGTTTAAAGGAATTGATTTGATTTGATTGGATTCTAATTCCAATTGTACTAATCTGACCAATTCGCCAATTCTATTTGGTAATCCCTAATCGATGGAATAAAATGTAAATAACCATGTTTGTACTGTGTTAAATGGAAATAGAAATAATTATCAAATGATTTGAATATACTTAAATTATGTAAATTAAGTCAGACATAAATTCAGATAACATTTCCATATCATAAAAAATTATTCTATTCGATTGTTTACTGTAAACTGTATTTACTAACTGACAAAATAACATTCGAACCAACCTGTTTATTTCAATGTTAATGAACGGTACAAATTGCAGTTAAACTTAGATAAAAATAAGCTGACAAAAATAAAATTTTTAAGTATACGGTTTATTGATGAGTTACGTATAGGTTGCTTTATTCAAATGATTGACGTAAGAGTAATTACAGATGTAAATGATAAAATTACAATGTATTACTTATGTTTTAATCATAAACCAGTGTTAAATTTTAAAAAAAATTGATGCTTACCTACCTGCTTGTTATTTTTATTAACTTAGTCATAAAGTTCCATAATTATCACGACTTAAAATTAGTGGTATTGCATGAATCCTATTCAATTTGCTGCGTCAGTGATATTATACAGTATACATATGTAATTCATCGTAACGATGCATGGTGGACAAAAAAAGATTAGCATCCGGAGAGATGGTGTTATACTCTGGTCATGAAGAAGAAAATACTTCGCAAACCAACCCTCTGACGCTAGGCACTTCACTTTCACCTGATGATACATACTCTTATATCTGTCGACATCAGTAACACACACCTTATTTAATTACAAACGTTAGTTAAGTTCTATCAAATGTTAGCTATAATATTATAAAAGAAATCATTAAGAACGGTCAGATTAACGTTAAAACAGAGCTACTAATCATAGGATTTGTCAAGTGCTTATATTTTTATTGAATATGTACGTTTAACAGATTATATGCTTGGTACTGATCAATTAATAAGCACGGAAAAATTGAACATAAATAAACAAAATGAACATTATACTATAAAATATTACCTCTAAGCGATTACTCGTCAAATCTAATACTTCTAAAGATACTAACTCGCCAATTGAATCAGGTAGGTGACCAATTTGATTATAAGAAAGATCTAATTCAACAAGATGTTTCAATGTTTCTATTCCTTCAGAAAGACAGAGTATAGAAAATATCAACTGATGTAAATGGGAAATAGTAAACAGTTCAAAAACTCAATAAAATTGCTAAATAAATAAAATAAATATAATCATTTAAAGTATGATTATTAGAATTAGAAAATAAGTCACATTTAAATATGACGTTTAGATGAAATGAAATTATTATTATAATTACACGATTATACACTAGTGATATCAGAATTTTCCCACAATTCATAATATTGAATATCCTTCAGAATATATCACTGATCTTTGATGAAAATGTACAAGAGTAATAATTCCTGATAAAATTCACTAAATATTGTTATGCGTTTATAATTTGATAGAGAATACCATCTTGAAATGAGAAAAGAACAAATTATCAAATTATTACTGATTTTGTATACAGAACAACATATTTTGTAGATACGTATCAAGATTTCGATAACGATTAGTGCACCGAATACTGCATTTTGTTCATGATAATCCAACAGAACCAATATAGGAGATGTTTCGAATAGAAAGAAACACTTGCACTAACATTTATCACATTGATTTCATGGATTGTGTCGAGCCTTTGTTTGAATAACATAATATTACTGTGAACAAATAATCGTTTCGAAACAAATTAGATAAATATTTTCTTTTCTTTATTGGTTACTTTTTAATTAATGTTAAGTCAATAATAAAAAAGGTTACGGTCTTTCGAAACTTTAATGACGTGGTGTTCATCAATATAGACTTCGCAGATGTAAAAGATCATTGTAAACAAATTTGGGTTCATAAAGCATGATCAACAATGAAACTGTATGTTAATAAATGTTGAAGTTAAAAGACAGAAAGTAAAAAAAAACATAAGGAACGTGTGGCTTGAAATATCTTGATGAGTTGTAAGAAATACATATAGTGATAAATGACCACTTTTCGCTTTGTAATAGATGGAATGTAGCTAGCAGTGGAATCCATGAGGCAGGTTTCGTCCTGTTTGTGATTCATCAACCGAGTGTACCTGCACTGACAACAGGATAATCCAAGCCATTACAAACTAACAATTAAAGCACTTTTTGATTCAATGTTACAACTAAACAACCGCTTTTTCAGTAGTTGTATACCCGTTTAACTACTGGGCACAAGTGGTCAGCAACTATTGCCATAAAACCTTTTATATGATTTCTATTGAATTACTGTTTATCATGCAAAGACATCGTCCCGAGGTGGTCAGTTACAATCAAGTCTAAAGTTAATATTTCATATTCAATTTGTCAAATAAATGGAAATGTACATGTGTTTTGGATTCTCCTTCAAAGTTTAAATACCCAAAGTTATCATTCAAATTCTTGATTAGAGTTCACTATCCGTCTTTTCAGTAACAGAAATACCTTTTATAAAAAGAGTCGACTATTCACATCGTAAATGTAATGAACCACGTGATCATGATTTGCAAACAGCCTATTACAAACAACATAGAGAATTACAGTTATATAGAAATAATAACGTGCACTGACATAATCCAACAAATGGATATTAAAAAATCTAAAACATGTATTTTCAGAACTATTACTAACATACAGCAAATTAACAAGTAACCTAATTGGTTGTATCTGTAAAATTTGAACAGTTACTCTACGATGTAACCTTTGTGACAGCATCATAAATAAATTCATGGCATGTTTTAAAGTAGTTAACAGAAAAAACGTTTACCTGTAAAGTCCAAAGTAATAATGTTATTGTTGCATAAGTTTAGTGTAGTCAATTGAGTATTTTCTGACAGCTGAACTGCTTCGAATATTTCTAAACGATTATAATCCAATCTGAAATGCTTTAGAAAGAAAGCCGAAATAAGAAAATAGATAAAAGTATTGTATGAAACAATATTTATTCCAGAAAAGATGTTTCAGAAAACAAATCGTGACAAAGTGACGAATTTACTCTGTGCTGGATTCCACTGCTAGCTATCATCCATCTCTGTTTTTTTTTATATTTTCGTACAACTAGGGCTTCAATAAACTTTAGTTTACGCCTTGGATAACTTTTGTGCAAAGCCACAAAGGCTAAGTTAAGATTAGTCTTATGACCTGTAACAACAACGTGTTTGGCGGCAGAGGAAAATAAATTCTTACTGGGTCATTTGATTTTGTTTGCTTCTACAGTTATTTTGGTAAATGTTCAGAGATTATAACTTACAAATACCGATTACTCTTGTATTTGTATACATGATCATACGAAAATTCAAACCTCATTTATGTATTCAGAAACAGATTGTTCTCACCCTGATTCTATTCTGGTAATGTCGAGTTATTATCCAGGGTGATGAGTTTAACACTGTCCTTCAAATCATTTTTAATATTATTATTCTTTTTTCCTCTTACATTCCATTTTTATAGTTGACCTTTTATTTTTCATATGTGTTAGGTCCCGATAAACATAATGACTGATGACTTTGGGATCCTTTTATGGACAAATACTAAACGTATATTTTTATCGCATAATTGTTAAGTAACTAAACTATTCATATTTCTATTCCCCTTATTATAAACTTTATTTTGACCTGTGAACCATTATTATACGTTTTACCATTTCAGAAATATGCCCTGTCTATTAGTCACTGCCTCCCACATTCACAGCCACATTTGGCCAAATTTTGTACAAATGTTATTTTCTGTTTTATGCTACGTTATGGTCTGTTTTATTGGTATATAAACTCAGTATGTTTGAAATATAAGGATTCATATTACAGAGGCTGAGACTGATGTTCTGGTCTTAACTGGCTGGGCTAGGCGGAAAGCAGGACCAATCAGGACTCTGGGTCGCTCGCACGTGTTTTGCACGTCCTTGGTCCGATCGATAATTCGCTGCTTCTGATTGGCGGCTTTCGGCTATAACTATGTAAATGTTCTTACTGAGTAAACACATGATCATATTTGTATGTATCATTACCAAGGTTTGACTTGATAATTTCGAATAAATTGAGCATTGGGTAGATTGTTATAAATAAATAATATATTTACATGATCATATTGTTCGAAATGTAATGCGTTTACATATTACATAATCCTAATAATCTTTGTCTTCCTACTACACTATCCAAATATATCAAAGAAATTAATTGCTTTAAAAGTAAATACTTCAACTGTGTTATAACAGACTTAAAATACTGAAAATAAAGATTTCCATAACACCTAAATTTTTTCTATCAAATAAACTCTGATAAAATAACTAAAACTAGTAAACTCAATAGTTATTAACTTAAAGAAATTGTTTGAATTATTCCAAACAATAAAACTTATTTTTGATTGAGATCATGAACCGATTGGTGTTAGACCACCTTTGGAAACCTGGAAGCACTGGACGGCCGTTTCTTTCTTTTTTTGTGGCTCCTCAGCGGTGCGCATCCACGATCCCGCTCGCGTGATTCGAACCCAGGGCCTTCGGTCTCGCGCGCGAACGCCTAACCAACTGGACCACTGAGCCGGCATCCGATGGTGATTGTAAATCCTGCGAGCGGGTCTGTGGATGCGCCCTGCTGGGGAGTCCCACAGTAGGACGAAACGGCCGTCCAGTGTTTCCAGGTTTCCAAAGGTGGTCTAACATCAATCGGTTCATGATTTCAATCAAAAACTTAATAATCTCCACAACCCCTATACTAACAAAACTTATTCTATAAAATGATTCAGATTAAGATGCTGCAAATGATTTATTATGTGAAATATTAATCTTTCATACCTTATGATCATTCATTATTGTATCCATTTTCAAATTAACTACTAATTTCAGAATTTGAAACATAAAAGTACAATTGGACTCCATATGATTATTTCTAAGAAAATATATTTAAGCAATTTAAAAATATTCTGATAAGGAAGAAACTTCGAAAATGTATTATCAGTGTGAAAACAAAAGTTAAATAAAGGCACATTTGTACTTACTTTCACATTTTTATACTGAGTTTTATCACCGATTGGGAAAGAATTGAAATCATTACGAGATAGTACTACAGAAAGTGAATCTTTTAAATGACACAATAGATTTTCCTATTCAATTAAATATACAGAAAAAGATAGAAAGAAAAACAGGTTCTACTCGTAAACAAGCCAAAGAAAAAATAATATTACTTAGATAGTAGAATTACCAAATGAATATACATTAATTATAATGTATGTCTCATAATCAACGTCACAGTGTGATTTCAGTGAAACAGACATTGTTAACCTGAAAGCATTGGGGAATTGTGTTTTCGTTGTATGGGATTGTTCAACAGTGTGCATTCACTACCCCAATGCTGGGGATAAATAAATAAAGCTCTGAATTAACGTTCTTCATGCTTTAATGTGATAGATGTGACCAATTTTCTATGGCTTCAAAATAAAAACCGAAGCTTTTAATTTTAATGAAAACATCAATTACCGTTTAGATTACTTAATAACTGTACCTATCCACGTGTAACAAGCTAAAGCATGTAAGTTTTTCAAAATTTCATTGATGACATTATTTTTGCCATCCATGATATGAAGACAGAACTGCGAGTACAAAGAAGTACGTTTAAACCCTATCTTTGCCATAACCTTAAATTATTATCATTACATTTTGTTTCGTATTTGAAATTACCACCCACCTCTTAACTTATTTCTCATAACCCCACGATTTTATTCATAATTATTTCTATCATTTTATTTCACTTAGCCCCTCTATTATCTTTAATTATTGCAACAATAATACATTTTGTTTATCTTACTCCATTCATATTACAAATCAGCTGCTAACTTATTTTTTCCTCATTTTTTAACCGTCAATCAGGAAAAAGATGTGATCAAAAATAATGATAAAGGAAACCAATAAATGAAACTATGGGAAAGGATAATTGTCCATATTTTCGAAAGCTGTACAAAACATAAAGCAAAATCAGTAAGTGTTTAATGATTTTCATCTGCAACCATATAATTATGATTTTTTTACAGAACTATCTAGTTTATAATTGAAACCGGAAATGCCTATTAATATCATTGTGTTTAATGAAATGAATCATTAATATTATGTAATCAAAAAAATAAATTGATATAAGGTACTCAAGAAGTAGCCACAACAATGAATTTTCTACTTATCGATAATCAATTAAAATGTAATAATGCAAGTGACTGATTGGTGTGGAAACAACCAGCAGTATGTAGAAAGATTTATCGACAGTGCTATTCTAATAACTATCAATATAAGGCTATGGAGGTTGTTGAGTTTTTATTGAGATAAAAAAGCCGATCAATGTCAGACCACCAATGAAAACCTGGAAGCACTGGACAGACATTTCATCCTAGTCCGGGATACTACAGGAGTGTTGATCCACAATCCAACCGATGGTACTCAACTCCAGGGCTTTCATGTCCGATATCTATCGTATAATCATAATGTCAATAATATCTTTAAATATCCCATGATGTAATTTACCATCGACAAAAATGCCAAACGAATATTTTATAACTTTCTCTGCATTACTACTTACATATATGCTATACAAGATTACATTGCATGGAAGTACAAACAAAATTAAGCAAACTGACCGGTAGCTGAGTTATATGGTTGCCTTCAATATTCAGTTCGGTCAATTGCTCGCAATTACATATTGTAACTGGGAGTTCACTTAAGCAGTTGTATCTGAAATACAAAAATACATGTTTGTTGACCAGAGATAATGAAGTTTAAAAATAAATATAGGACTAGTTTATATTTGAGTAATAAGAAAGTATGAATTACCAACTACTTTTATTTATTCCATGGAACCATTAAATGGTAGTCACATACACACACATGTATATAGAACTTGACTTCAAGATGAAGAAATTGTACGATTCAATTATATATCTGCTGTATTTGTGTCTAACAAATCTTTAATAAGTAAGTATACATCTGTGTATCGTTAATGGAATATTTTCTAAATACTAGCCAAGTTTTCATGGCACTAACTTGATATCTCAAGAAAGAAACAATCACATAAAGTTGAAGTTTTTGCATTAACTTCACACTTCAATAAAAACATCTAGAGCTACATTTTATAACAGCGGAATGTTTATCAACAGTTATGTGACGATCCAATTTTAGCTAAACGTAGAAGCTTTAATAGTGATCGAGAGTTTTTATTGTTACAGGTTCGGCAACTATACAATTGACTGATTGTTGAACAGTGATTAATGCTATAATTATTTAACCCTTTAATTGCCAATGTAATTCCATCGATTGAATTGTATTGAAACCAGTAGTCTAAGTAAAGCTGGCCGAAGTGGTTTTGAATCTCTAAAGAAATATCAGTTCCTTCAAGATAGCAGGTACATCTAACTGACGAGTGTCAACTGGCACAAAACCTAGGTCCAGAGTTTTCTGCCAATAACTTCCAATCATATAGCAAGGCGACAGTGTTTATTTAAATGAACAAAATGACAAATTTTTTGTCAGCTAACAATTTAAAAATTCTTTTATGTGATAAAAAATATCATCTTTCTGAAACGAAAATCATGCCAGTATTAATTCTTTTCCTGTATTACCGATAACTTTATCTTCACTGTAAAGATACGACATCCAAAAACTTGAAGTGTTAGAGAGAATATTTTTAGACCAAGATTAAAATATTGAAGGTATTATTTCCTTTGAGTTTAATAAGTTTACTTGGAGAATATAACATCTTCAAAAGGTATCACGAAACACATGTCAAAAATAAATACCTGAAATCAGTCACGGTGATATAAACTTTGGTCAATTTTATTCGTGCTCATTGTATCTGCAAAATCTAATTATGTAATTATGAATTTCTGAAATCTTGGATATTTTAAATCTTTTTATTAAGATAATTTTAATAGTTTCTTTTAGCTTGTATAGTGATATTAAATGTAATAAATTTCTAATGAATTTCTATCCAATAGGCTAATGAATTTCATTGTGAGAAATCATACAAACAGTTTCATTGTAAATGAACATCTTTACAATAATTAAAACATAATAAGGGTATGATATTAACATAATGGGTTAAACTTTCGCAATATATTCACATTCTTCGTCTCTTATTGAACTCATATAAATAAAACAAACTTTATGTAAATAGAAAACAATCAGCAAAACTTCTAAATATAAAATAATCGCACAAAGAGAATACAAACTGAAAACTATAAATGTTTTCATACAAAACAAAACAAATAACGAATTGATCAAAGTTTAATATGTGCTCTATCTGATTCTGACTTGATGATAAAAAGTTAATCTGCTAATTGCTAAGACTTAAGAAAAGTGATGCGTCCAATCCACTTGTGGAGTAGTAGTAGTAGTAGTAGTAGTAGTAGTAGTAGTGTGGTGTATGCTATTTATGTCGACAAACATAATTATTATGCAACATCAGTCGGAAGTGGAGAACCTGGCAGCAAAAGGCTAAGAAGATTGAGTTGAACAGAATAAAAGGGAAAATAGAAAGGTACTGTGAACTGGAAAAGTCATACAGAACGTGAGGGACAAATAATGGAAATTTACAAATCAGGTATGCTTCTCATATTTTACCAAAAGATTCTGTAATTTTGTATCTAAACAAAACCGGTTTCCCTCACCTGTGTTCTCATTCAAAACAGTAGTAGTAGCAGTATACTGATGTGTTATAAAAACTGATCATTAACTTGTAACTTGTGAAACTTGAACCCTTGGATACTTGAACGACTAAGTAAAAAACTACGAATAAAAGAATATTCAGTAGAAAACTTACTTAATTCCTAGTACCGTAAGTTCTGAAAGTTGACCAATTGATTTTGGCAATTCATCTATTTGATTATAATCCACAAGAAAACGGGATAGCAATTTACAATTGCCTATATCTAGTGAAAGAAAATAAGAAATATATTGTTCACATTTAAACTAACTAAATCTATTTATATAAACTATTGATGAACTAATTTATTAATTAGTTAAAAGACAGTCTAACTATGCCCCATTTCAATTAATTTTTGTATTGATTGATTCAATCATCCCATTGATGTTCAGGACTGCAAATGATTAGTCTCTTATGGGAACACGTACATCCATCTCTGCTAACAATACATGTGTTCCATTTTGTCCATCATGCTTTTGTCAATCATACGGAGCAAAAATAAACGCAAGAAAAAATTCCCGCAATCATTATTATATTCATCTAATTAAATATAATTTCAAATTGATGAAATAATGATAGGATTTATTTTGACTGTCATTTAAGCTTAATGAAAAAAAAATATGGTAAAGCTTTAAATAAAATAAACAAACTTGACATTTAATTGTTATTGTTTTTTTTTAGTTTCAATCAACTTTGATCATGTATATGCAAACATTACCTTTACATATATAATAAACCTCTTAGTTAGCGTTCATAAACTTGTATAAACTACAAAGAACAAAAATCTCATAAATAATACAACAATTAGTAAATTCATTCATAAGATACTAGGTAATTGAAAATAATAATGAAGTTCCTTTGTATAAATTAAATTATATCAGACATAAATTTGTTTCTCAAAAAATAATGTACCTCACTAGATAAAATCATCATTAATATTAATAAATTATCATTACTGTTATTTTAATATTATTTAACTCAGGTTTCCAGTTCCAAAATTTTGCAATAAAACATTAAGTTAGTTTCTGTTATACGATAACTTTAACTAGTCAATTACTAAACAGTAGAAAGAGCTGGACAACTGTTTTTCACTAGTTTTACACTTCTCATTAGTGTACAACAATGACTATATGTGTGACTAAACCCACGATCTTCAGGTTTCATAGTGAAAAAGTTACTTTTAGATCATGTAGTCAGTAAGCAGTGGTTTGTGTATCCAATCAGTAAACTCCTGATATAGTGCGACGATTATAAAATGTCAGTAATGATTCCTATCACACTCGAGACGTGACGGAACCTGGTTATGTCATCTGGTTCAGGGAAAGTAACACCACTAAACGTAATCCTAAACAACCTAAAACAGAATATATGAGCATCATTTAAGATGTCACACTAAACCAGCACAACGAGATTAAATTATCAAGACAAGTGCTAGAGTAGTAGGAGAAGTAACAGTGTCGATCATAGTTATAAACATTAGACATAGACAATATGATTCTATGACAAGGAACTAATTAATCTTCAACAATTTACATTCATTGGTATTTTGATAGAGAAGACTGACTCTCCAAACAGCAATTCATAATTTCTTTAGTTTTTCCTCACATATATTGTGCTGAAATATTAAGAGTTAATTATAAGAACTTTCGTCGGTAAGACTATAATTTATGGACGACCTTTGAGTGACGTTAAAGTGACCTTGAATATATCCACCTACTTACTGGGGCTAAATGATGGTTATAAAGCAGTGTGAAGAATAATGATTAAGATTTATAGTTGATGCTTAGGGCTAGGAATTAGATTTATTTTCATCACGAACTGACATCAGCTAAAATGCCGAAACGTTATTTAGACAAATAAGTGAATGAATTTCGCGCCAAAATCCAAGACCCGTTATCCTAATTCTGAGTGGTTCATTCATAAATTATAGCCTCGCTCTTTCGTCTATATTTGAACGAATATTGTACAGTAGTTGGGTGTAAAATTAATGTGACAAATCAAGGAAGAAAATTATATTTGTAAAAATCTCAGCGAATGAACTTTAAGTAAATCGGACGTCTCGCTCGGCAATCTGGATCAACCAACCGTTGTCTTAACGCACTTTTCTCCACTTTTCACACCAAATGTCTCATACGCATTACAGCGAATTTTTACTTTCAGTATTGCCAACATCAGTGGATGGACTGTTTAATATACAGTTAACTGGAGAACCATTTATTTATTTTTATTCGATAATTTTAATGTTTGATTATATTTCCTTGAAATAGCTTGATACAGATCGCTGAGGAAAACGTTGGATTTACTCAATTTAAATCACTGAGATTGTTTAGAGATGTTATTATCCTCCTTAATATCAGTAAATATTTATTGAACAACTAACCGAATACACGTCACATAAATTATATTACCTTATAACGTGACGACTAATCGAGTTGATTACGTAATTTATAAAGACATGACGTTAATATATTCAAATGTTTGCAACACTACAGCTATTTTTTCATTTGTACAAAAATCGTAGTGCAATATCAAAGGAATTACTTAAATAAAAGAACGTAATGCATATACACTTAAATAATACAAATACAATGGTTTTTGAAACAATTAATCTACATGACGACTGTTAGTAAACTCAAGAACCAATTCGAGCTTAAACCTGTCTAATTTTTCTCGGAATTCGCAGCATAATGAGAAACAATAAGTTAACATATAGACTTTAAGAAGTACAGAAAATTTAATAACAAATGGGAGAGTGTTTAAAAATTTGAATAATATTAGTTGATTATTTCAGGATGAGATAGTTTTGAATTTCATCCCATGAGAAATAGTACAAATAAAATGCCAACTGAGTAACCATTTGATATTTATGGATGATTTGCAGTCACATATTGTTTCATAATACTTCAACATATAATTATAAAGTTACAAATGTAAGAATTAGGTTAAGTAGTAAGTAAAATAATATTTATGACCATTGTTTGTTGTTTATTGATTCAAATGCATTATATGATAGAAGTTTAAAGATGCATTTTGCTATGAACTATTACCAATTTACTGATCACTTAAAACATTACAGGACATAATACAATCTCCCCCATCGAAGAAACAATGAAACATTTTAGTATTCAAACACGCAAAATACAGAGAAAACTTATAAATATTAGGTACGAAATGAAGGCTTTGATCAAATGGATCCTGACACAATGACTGAAACGTAGTTATTATGACAACTGGACGATTCGACTCTATTGACCTACAAAACGAAGATGACTTACATTACTCAGTGTATGTAAACTTTTAAATCAACTGGACATTTGGTGGTAATCAACATCATATGATTCAGTTTTTAGTATCCATGAAATACCATCAATAAAATTTAAATGTGAAGAAAATACTCAATGATTTCACATCGCGATAAAGATTCTTGCGATTTTAGTGGACGGAAGGCAAGTTATAGGAAGTAACATAAGTTTTGTGCTAATTAGTACTCGTAAACATGGTATATTTGTAAAGTTGAAGGAGCAGATTTTCTTGGATGTACACAAATTCAGTTATAATCAAGTACTAATTGTAAAAATGTTTACTACTTAGTGATCAACTCACTTAACTATCTCAGTTTTAAAGGAAATAAGTAGAGATGCAGTAAAGCTCAGTTATATCTTTTCTGATTGTATCGCTGAGTAACCTGAGTTTAAATAGTACGAACGATGTCACTTCCAAACTAGAATAAAACCTTATACCAGGGGTTTATTCAACCGACCATCAACTTTGATAAAATGTCAGTTAACAACCACTATAATTTTGGTGATTCATATATATATATATAATATTTCATATTTTAAATTCATACATAAGTCAAAAAACGAGTGTATCCACTGACCAGATAAGTAACTATTTACTTATTAAAACAGGGTCACGCAAATTTTGATATAATGATAATGAAATAATTACGCTAGTAGAACACACAGTTCTCCAGTACCAGGACATTAAATAAAAACATTACAATTCAGTTATAAAAGCAACATCATTCTGTTTTCATTATGCAAATTAACTGTTTCGTTTTAGTTAAAAATCTTAACAAAATATTCACCTGATATTCTAAACGTTCCGATATTTAACAAATACAAAGAAATTCCCATTTTCTCTTCATCGAATGGCATTTTGCTACTGATATTAGTGCTTCACTAATCAAACAACGAAAGGTTTTTGAATACTATATCTTTAACTTAATTGTAGTGCCAGATTCAGGGAAATAAGTCATGTTACAACTCAAATGGAAGAAATTAAGAGATTGATTTTTCTTTACAGTAATCGTCATACATCAATGTCACATATTTGCACGATATTTTAAGTGTTCTAAGGAGTAACACTTATCCTTTGTTTGTTCTTATTGAACATATATTACTGACAAATAAGGTCTACACATGCAATGTTACAAGTGGATAAAAGTATTCTAGCTGCTGAACAGAGTCATCATCAAAACAGAATGAATTAGTTAACTGTTAAAAAAGTATAAAATGGTTGAAACGCTACGATGCAACTTATAATCCTGAATGAAAATTAAATTTTTCAAGTTACTATATGCAGAGTTTGTTTTATGACTGATGGCAATACTGTACAACTATCGGGAGCAAAATTTATCTAAAACATTTCAGCTTACAGATAACATTTGAAAATTGATTGTTCCAACCTTCGTTGACACAGGTGCAAGAAGTAGATTGCAAAATCTATTTAATCTACGAAATCCATAGCAATTAACTATTACATTGCGGGTAATAACCAGTCTATCACTTTTCAGTGTTCCTTATTAAACCAAATCTAACTCGTGAAGTTCAAATATTTTTCATTGACATGACAAAAAATCGTTATAATTAATAATTTAAATGAAAATATTCTCAGACTCACAATTGATTCTTACAATTCAGTTGGTGGATCACGAAACTGAGAGCTCAAATATCACCAGTTCTTAACTGTGATAATCATTCTTTGACCTGCAGGACTGGACTATTTCATATTGTATGTCCCATACTGAGAAATAATGTTTCAACAATTTCACGTCTACATAGTTTAAGTACTCGTGATAGTTTTATCTCAGTTCCAAAGCTACAATTATTTTTGCTATCGACCCGAGACTATTTATATTATCAGCAAAGAAAAGATATGAAGAAAAATAGGCCAACAAATGTGGTTTTTCGATTCGAGTTTTCCAGTATTTAGCATAAGTTT